TATTTACTTACTGTTACATTTGCAAGATAATTTCTATATACAGAATCCAGCTAGGGTCCATGCAGGAAGCAAAAGTACTGTACGTTCCCGTAGTCCCTAGTATGTTGATCAACCTTCAGGTGTTGGCAATCTATAGCCCATTTTTATACTGTACCGTTAAAGTGTTTATGGTTACATGCCAGTTTTTAGTGTACATTTGTGATAGACTAGTTATTTTACTGTCCTTAGAAGACAGGTAGGTATATAAGTTTGTTTTTATTTCATGTACACATTTACAAATTTAGATTTACGACTTTCACGATATGGCTGCCGATGTGACTTTGTAACTCACTACCATTCTGCATAACTTGTGAATGTACCATTTATTACATTGTACACGAAAAACAACAAACACAGTAACACAGTCACTGATATGATTCATCTGTTTCATTATTTTGAATAGCTCACATTTCAACAGAACCCAAAAATGTATGTATGTATGTATGTATGTATGTATGTATGTATGTATGTATGTATGTATGTATGTATGTATGTATGTATGTATGTATGTATGTATGTATGTATGTATGTATGTATATGTATGTATGAGAGAAGCCACATCAAGAGGGAATCTTAAGCATTGGAGAACACAACTTGTATGAATATGCAAATACAAATATGTCAAAACCCTACAACATTTTATGCATATGATGAAATGATGTCTACTAGTGCAGGCATAACATACTTGCTGTGGTATTTATTAAACAGATTTTAAATTCAAATTCAAATATTTATTGTATGAAAGGTCATGGGCCCATATACATGAAGTGTACATTTGAAGCTGCCTCAATGTATCTTAACATATACACACTAACAATCTCACATAGTAAAGACTTGGCAACTTGCTTGACAATCATGAAGCTTCTGTTGCACTCATACTGAGCTGACAGCAATCCTCTGATCTGGTACATATGAAGCAGAGCCTGAGTTGAGACATTTGTTTTGCCACACAGAGAAAGGGGAAATATAACCAAGTTGATTACAACAAGGCTTGAACCAGTCCACAACCGCAAACAGATGGTGTATGCTCTACTTAAGATCTGTGGGTGAATATGAAGAGTCCTGGTTGATGTCTGGCACAACATCGTTGCCATGCTCATCGTCCCACACAGACTCTGCATCATCCTGCAAATACAATACATACAATGCTTAGTAAAACTACAAAAACAGCCAAAGTAACACATGTATACATATTCAAAAACATGCATAGTGGTATATCTGATCACAATGAAATTATCAAATTAGAACGACTAATTTGTAGATGTACCCAAAAGATTTTTTTCACAATCACAAAGGAAAGATCTGTAGTATACATGTATATTGTATCTTCCATTGGACATGTCACTTATTTGATTGATTGGTACCAGAAAATAGTAGCCAACCCAGTATTCTGAAGCAAATTGTGGTAATATTTATTACTGTTACTGTACTCATATTCAAGGTAACATCTACTACCAAATCGCCAACTGAAATCTAAGAATAGGTAAAACGGTACATACATATTTTAAATAGATACGAATCATGTTTAAACACTGAATGTAACACCTTATTATATATGTGATCTTATTCATTTCAAATTGAAATGACCAACTCAACTGAGAAAAGCATACAAAACCTAACATTTCCCATGAATGAAAAATCGTGGGTATTTCTTAGTTTTATCAACCCTCTAAAGAAACATTCACAGCAATATAATAACAAAAAAAAAAAATTTTTAATGTGACCTTTACTTTAATTTAAAAACTGTAAAATGTGTAACACAACTTATTCACTTACACTTACAGTTACATATTTGATATACAATAATTAAATATATTCATTATTGATATATGATGGATAACAAAGGGACAGATCAAACTGAAGTCGTTAAGTGAAACCTATGAAGTGAAGTATCTTTGACGACTAACCTGATGAGAAACTGCCGTCCATTCCAGACGGATTCCTTGTTTCCTTGAAACAAGCGACTGGCAGTGCGGACAGAAAACTGGTCTTCTTCTTGGAACTGAAAACATATCAACTTATAATTACACTGGAATCCACGCACTGTTACATTTTGAGTGATTATATTTTTCACAAAGATAAAGAAATTTATTCTATGTATCTATTTAGTGTTTACTTGTTTTGACTAAATGCTGATGAATAAAAAATATTGTTTTAAGATTTCCTTTAATGAAATTAGGAGCATGGTAGGGTGTAACTATAAATGATTACCAAGCCAAGCCTCTTGTCAATCTCCAACAAGTCCCTAGATCCACAAAACGTATCTGTAAATTGAAACAATGATTCTTTTAGAAATGTTATACGTGACTTGTGTCAATGCATTGTAAGGCTAAGAGGTTTAATAATTGATTACACAAATTATTACACAAAGCTATGAGTGTAAAGTATATGTAATAATTGTTTTAATGGTTATAAAATGATAAAATAGATGAACTGGTATAATTGGATAAATACCGCCATATAGCTGGAATATTGCTGAGTGCGGCGTAATACTAAACTCACTCCACTCGGATATATTGAGCTGACATTACATATAAGCTAGCAATATATACTGCAAAATTAGATAATTTAACTTATAATACATGGGAATAGTATATCTAGGTGTAGAGCTGAAAAGAATGAACATGATATAAGCATGTCTAATACACTTGCATGTTTGGATCTCAATGGGTAAATTACTTACATGATGAAGTTTTACGTCCAGCAAAAAATATTTTCGTATATTGCCTACTCCTGACAGGGTTTTGAAAAATCACCTATTTGTCACTAACACAAGTTCTCACGAGTAGGACTCATGAAGCTCGATCAGGGTGCCGTTCCACTAACCGATCTTAGCCCTACGCCAATCGTAAACCCCTAAAATCCCAATCTTAGCGTGACGTTACGATCGGCATACCGTTCACTAACCAATCTTACCCAAGTCAATCGTAAAGTTAAGATCCAAAGTCTAAGTTACTCATGACCAACTTAGGATAGCTAAAATCAATCGTACAGAAACCAAAATGGTGGCTTTCCTATTCTATGTGAAAAAATAAGAGCGAGCATTTCACCGTGAGCGTCCCCTAAAATCCCCCATGAAATGAATTTGTATATTTCTGTGATGTAAACAAACACCGCACTGAAGCCTTACAAATGTCAGGCCAGTCTGACCACTGTCGTCATGGGAACACAACCGAGCGAGTCGGTGTAGCCGTGAAGTGAACAATGTTCTGAAGCAAAAAGATACGAATATGTTTCATTTCACTGCGCATATTAGGTGGGGGATTCTAAAGGCAGGCCGCGTGTTATTCAGGCACATATTAAAAGCTCTGACACAATTGACATTTTAAAGTCCAGACTTAAAACCTGTTCTCAGTTTATTACTTATAATCTCGGCTGTAAATACTCTCGTGTAAATTATCTGTACATGGCGCTTTGAGCATGCCCCAGGATGTGGAATAGGCGCACTATAAATATGCATTTATTATTATTATATTATGCCTGATACCCAGCGTTCACACGCACTTGCACTTGAAACCAAGGTGCTCACTACCCTAATATTTTGCTCCAGCTTTTTTCTCCACGTTTACACATGGTTGGAAAAATACCAATGAAGGCCCGGGTTAGAATATTGAACTTCAATAACCCATGCTTGTCGTAAGAGGCCAGTAACGGGATCGGGTGGTCAGGCTCGCTGACTTGGTTTACACATGTAATCGGTTCCCAACTGCGCAGATCGATGCTCATGCTGTTGATCACTGGATTGTCTGGTCCAGACTCGATTATTTATAAGCAAGATACATAGCGTTCACTAACATGAACGCTCATGTTAGTGAACGCTATGCATCTTAGTTAGATTTTTTACAGACCGCCGCCATATAGCTGGACTATTGCTGAGTGCGGCGTAAATCTAAACTCACTCACTCATTCAGTTGGTTCGTAAACTACTTCCATCATTTGCTAGACTATGCAAAGGGAGATAACTCGTGCCTCGGATTCCTCTATCTATCGCACGAAAGAGTCTCGATCTAAGCTTGGTTCGGATCGTAAGATCGGGACCGGCTACAATCGGCCTAAAATCGGTTAGTGGAACGGCACCCAGGACTATTAAAGTAACGTGAATATGTTTTCAGATTTATTCACTGTTAATTATCTCTAGGCCTACATGTTGATGCTTGACACTGAGGAGGAGCAATTAGTGCCCATAATCCGATGAAAAGACCCTTAAGCCCATAACAGCCCACTGTTGTCACTTTGGGTACTCGCATTCAATCTGCTCATTTCCACCTTTCACGGTCCCCTTTGATGTCGGCAATGTAAACGAATAAAACAATGGCGACCGGATCACGCCCACGCGAGACTACCTAAATTATTATAAAAACACACAGCTGACATTTTAGGTGTATAGTGTATGTTTATTTTGTTGTATAACGCGGAAAGATATTGTCAAACTGTAATGCTAGATTTAGATTAAAAAACAACAACGTGTTTTTCCCGTGAGTCTTTGCGAGACGCCATTTTCATAGCCGCCTCAGTTTCCCTCAAAGCACTGGAAGAGAGAATTCGCTACCTGGAAAAGAAAGATGGAAATGGCTGCGAAAAACTCGCAGTACCACGACCCTGTCAGGTAAGACCAATTTATTTTGTTGTCAAATGACGTTTAATGAATTATTTACTTTATGTACAGAAATCTGGATTGGTAAACAAGCTAATCTATCGAATTACAGCCACTGGCGGGTGCAGGCTAAAACGGAACCGCGCCAAAACGGTACCAAAAACCAATTGGCGAAAACGGAATCACTCTGTCGAAAACGGAACCAATTTTCTCTGGCGAAAACGGAACCACATTATTAAAAAACACCAAAACACTACTAGTTTTTAATTTTTTTTATTTAACACGATCAGTTTATCACATTAATAACAGTTCATCACGTTCTGCATCACGTTTTCATTGGATGACTGGTCCGTGTATCATGGCACACCTGGAGAGCAGCTGGCTGAGTGTCAGGTCTGTTCGTTTGTACATTCTCCAGACGGCAAAGATCTCTTCCTGACGTGCTGTTACAGCTTTTCTTAGGTAGGACTTGAGTCTCCCCTCCAAGATTAGGCGTGTCTGGATCTGCAGGAGGGCAGCTTCTCGGTGTAGCTCTGGTATAAGTCTATAAATACCCAGAGCTTGCTCCCCAACCTTGCTATTCATCCGTCGGTGCCATCCTGAAATAATATGGGATACTGTATAAATAAAACTATACAATTCATGTTTTTATTACAAAATCTTATTTTAATATATAATACTATAATACTACTATTACTAATAATAATATACCTTCGCTGTGGTTGTTGGTGCGGATGGTCACGCGGTAAGCACTCCACGTAGATGGCTCGAAAACTTGATGCTCCATCCACTGACGCCTGAAATATATGATCAGCTGATTCAGTGGTCCATGTCTCTCAACCCGGTCCGCAATCTTGGCAAACATCCTCGGAATGTGTTCCGAAGGCAAAAACGGCAGGGCCATGAGTTTCCTAACAAACTTGTGTACGGCATCATCCTTCTGGTAGGCAATCCATCACAAGTGATAGCATGTTGATTTCGTCGAACAGTCTTCTCGCAAGTCAAGCACTTCGCAGCCATTGTCGCTTGTACATTTTGATGAATAACCACGTCTTATATAGCATGTATCATGACACTGAGTTGTAACAGAGCAGTCATGAGTTGTTGTTTTAATGAAGCTTGTCAACCCATCAAAGACGCCGCTGTTTTCTTTGGAACAATATGCATGAGGCGTGTTCATTAACTAGTGTTTATAACATGTTTTGATAATCAACATGTTTATACTGCATTAAAAACAACAAGTTTTGAGAAGAGACATGTTTATTTGGTCAGCACTTCGTTAACGTAAAGTTTTATTTATACATTAATTTTATGGTTCCGTTTTCGCCTAGTCAAGGTTCCGTTTTCGCTAAGTCAAGGTTCCGTTTTCGCTAAGTCAAGGTTCCGTTGTCGCCAAGTCAAAGTTCCGTCTTCGCCAATTTGGTTCCGTTTTGGTTAGTACCGTTTTGGCGTGGTGCCGTTTTAGCTATAACCCCCCCACTGGCCATAGGTATTCGTCACTATGCATTATTCGACTTACATGTTAATTTGGTGCAGCTAGAAATATGTCTTGCATTTATTTAATATCCGTTTGATATTGTTCATATTTTGCACATGGGTCATGAATCATCTCAGCTACAAAGACGTAATTTCCGTTTTATTTTCAATTCAGTGCGTGTCATGGTTATGGCAATTTTTAACATGGCGGTCTATGGGGAAAGAATACGCAATGTTGTATATATATATGTTGCTCATGTAACTACAATGTGGAAAATTATGTATCTGTGGCCAAGATCATTTCCTTACAACCTGCGAAAATAGCATGCAAGTCTATGAGAATTTTGCCGACGGACGTATATTTAAGTCCCATGACTGTATAAACTGTTTTGCTCGAACTAAGGTTGGTGAAGTAAAATAAGTCTATCTAAAAATATACTACAATTTTGAAAAATATAGCAAATAGATTATAAATTAATGGATTTGTTTTATTCATTTAGGCTGTTGTGAGGAAACATGTGTCACGACTACTCCTGGAGGAAAAGATCACCCTCTCTTACTGACGGTATGTGTTTATGGTACTACGAAACATAGACATAATTTCACTTTGAATATTTTATTATTATGCTTCCCTAGATACATTTTCACAAAATGAACCATGAACCATACTAAAGTTACATTTGCAAATGGATTTGAATAACCGGTAACTTAATCATGATTTCAAATTGGACCAAATAAATCTTAACTTCACACCTGTGTGAAATTGCAGTCAAACTGACCCCTTGATTTTACAATACCGTAATTACTCCAAGGTTATGTCACATGAGATAACTAAACTTCATTCATCAGGATGTTTATGTCAGGCCGTTCACTTACTGATTGCATAACCTAAAGTGATAAATCTGTAGTTTGCTTGTTGGTATAAATGTCGCTGCAGGTTTAAGGGGTTTTTTTAAAACTCGAATGAATGAATGGGGAAATGCAAAGAAAAGTAACGTGTTATTGTTTATTTTTTTCAGCAAAGCTGATGATGAGTCTGGAGACTGTATAACAAATGATCAAGGATGGTCAGCAGTAACATGTGAAGGTAATTTTGACCTATCTGTAGTGACTTTCATTATAAATAGTAAATAATTTCCAATTAATAGTGTAGAGACAAGGTTTATGGATGTCAACTCCTTTATTATGTGAAAACATGTTTCAGAGTGAATGCTTACCCCTTCGTCAGGTGTAAGCATTCACTCCGAAACATTGTGTTTTTACCTAATAAAGACGTTGACATCCGTAAACATTCATGTCTTGCATTATTCACTTCTAAATACACCTCAAAGACTTAATGGTGTAAACATACAGTCACTACTGGGTGAATATACTTGTGCCTTCAACAATACGACTGACTGACTGAATTTGGTTTTACGCCGCTTTCAGCAATATTCCAGCAACATCACGGCGGGGGGACACCAGAAATGGGCTCAATACGAACTGTAAGAGATTGAATATAGCAATTTGATGGAAATCTATTACTAGTATCATTATTACTATATAGAAAATGCAATAAATGTTCATATATATATATAACGTATTACTACCTCTGGACTGGGAAGCATGTAACTTCAGAGCAAATTTTGTATAGATTGTGTGTCCTCTTTAGAAAATAAGATATTTCATTCGGTCAATGAAGTGTGATGAATTGCATAATTTGAGTTTTGAGAAAACTAGTGCAAAGTGTGATTGTTCAATTTAGTTCTCTTTTATTCAAACTTCCTTTTGGATTACTTATTTTAAATCATCCTTGGCATTGTCAGTTTCTTGTTGATTGATGTTTGTGTAATTTATCAAAATAACCTAGTAATTCGTTATTACCTGCCATTTTCAGAAACTTGCACAACGCCTAAACAGACTTGCATCTATCGATTGGCCAGATAGACGAAAGAAAAAGGTAGCGACAACACTCACCATAGACATGACATCACCAGTCGTGAGTGACGAAGATGACGTCAATTAGTTGCATTCCGTCCCTTTGTCTGGGAGTCCAGCAAGCTTAGGGCATACACGACGACACTGGACTTGGAAAGAATCTACACCTCCACTGCTCTCGTCATGGCCAACGTGAGGACGAGGATGAGGCATCCAATCAACCGGAGGGATCTCCACCCAGGGATGCCCCTTATTGGGCTAACTGACCAACTCTTGCAATATAATTGAATTTATTTTCAATTTCATAATGTAATTTTTATTTTATTTTTGTATTGTAAGCTGTATGTTGTGTTATTGTATGGTGTATATCATAGTGGATGTTTGGCGATAGTTGTGACATAGAGTGTGTGGCTGAATGCCAAGGCGTGCAAATAAATGTCCGATACAGCTATGTTTTATTACTGTGTTAAGTTGTATGTTAATGTTATTTTTCACCATTAGCATGATTTTAGAAATAAATTTCATATCTAACATGCTATTTCAAGATAATAAGTGAATGAAAGTTTAACTGATGAAAAATTACCATTTGTTATAAATGATATATGATTTCTTAAACTGGATTGAGTTATGCCAAAATGTTTTGCCCTGTTTTTTAGTGCTATATTACTAGTTATATGTATGATCTTTATTTGCCTTAAATGCTAATTCATATTCATGTTGAGAAAATAAAACAATGAATCTTATTATATATTCTGTTTTTCTTTAAGTAAATGTCATGATAACAAATTGCTTATATTGTTTTTAACAAGAGTTTATGATATGAGTAAAGAAGAATGTTTAAATTTGGCTCTTTGAAACGCATATGAAAACCTGTCAACCTGAAATTGAAACCGGTAACTGAAACTATGCGGAAACTATGTCGAATAGTTGGTAACTGAAACTCTGCGGAAACCTGTTGGAGTCTTATTAATAACTGAAACCTTGCGGAAACCTGATGGATTCAAAGTTAAATGAAACTCAACGGAAACTTGTCGGAGTGTGGGTAACGGATACCTTGCGGAAACCTGTTGGAGTGTGGGTAACGGAAACCTTGCGGAAACCCTTAGAAAGTGGGTAATTGTAATTTTCCGTTATTGCGGAAACTCAATGTAAAAGAACGGAAACTCACTGGATTCTAGGTGGAAACTTAAGTTTCAGTCCACTTTTCACCAGGTTTCCGCATTGCGTGAAACCAAGTTATTTTTTTTGCTGACAATTTCTAACCGTTCCTTGACATGTGGACTTTAATGTCGTCAAGGTTATATTGCCATATTGTCACCATTACAACCAAATGCCACAACGTTAATGATGGAAATATGGAATGAACATGACGAATATGCTTTATAGTGAATAAACTTTGTTAAATGGTGTGAGTTTTTCGGATTCGGCATCAACAACATCAAATACTGCACAGTTACTTTATTCTAGTAGTATATATAACCTTAATGCTGCAGGTGAATGATTAACTTGCCTTTGCATATGTTTGTTACGTTGGCTACCGGATCAGCAGTATACCCTTTTCCGAAAGCCTGGTATTATCGCTATTTGATAGTAAACCCATGCCCATGACGTAGCAGGATACAACATGCAAATAGTCGCCTTTACTCATATAACTATCATAACATCAGTAGGTATTGTCAGTGTCACTGTGATGACATTGAGACCTGTAGTTTTGATCTGACGCCTTCATGCAAACAATAGAAATATTTTAAAATTGTATGATTACAAGTTCTGCTTTCCATTGTCGTCATGTGGACCCTCTGTTGCGTGCTGACACAAACAGGCGTGTTTCCTAGCAACAGCACAAAGCCTGGTTTCCAGGCCAGGACAGATTCAAGACACCACGTTCGTTATGAAGGATGCCCCGTGGTTTTACTTCCCATACCCAGGTACAGGTTTACAGCTAATGGCAGATACATTCAGTATCATCGTAAAGTGTATGAAAGCGGAGTCATCGAAACGTCCGCTACAAGACAAGAGCGTTTCTTTGTTCTTTCTGCCTTATGTAATGCACGAATACAGATTGGAATCGTTGTTTAGGGTTTGGTAATCTAAAATATAACAACAACCACTAATAACTACGTCAGCGTCTACACATATTCAACTCATCAGCATCATCAGTGACAGTGTATTCATACACTAACATTAGCCTATTTTATCAGAATAACACCAGTGTTCCTATCCCACGTTACAGATGATTGTTTGTGCTGCCATGGTCAACAAGACTTTAAACCTGACGTTTGCATCCCTACAACTACACGTATCACTATGTGCGGTTGTTATTATCTAGTGAAATGAGTCAACCGGGTTTACCACATTTCTGGTAAACAGTTAGTTGTTTGGTTGGATGGTTGGTTTGTTGTTTAACGCCGCACTCAGCAATATTCCAGCTATAGGGCGGCGGTCTGTAAATAATCGAGTCTGGACCAGACAATCCAGGGATCAACAGCATGAGCATCGTTCAACACAATTGGGATATGATGACGTGTGTCAACCAAGTCAGCGAGCCTGACCACCCGATCCCGTTAGGCGCCTCTCACAAGCATGGGTTGCTGAAGATCACTTCTAACCTGGATCTTCATGGGTTCTGGTAAATAGCATTGACTACACCCAGCGTTGACAAGATTCAACTTGAGTTAAACCGTGTAAATCCCAGGGTGACCCCTGATGGTCAGGGTCAGAATTTGGTCTTTACAAACTACGTCGTATTTCTGGAGTGTTGTGACGTGAGTCAAACACCATCTCAGGGCCGCACTGGATATAAAACACGATGAGACATTCACACCTGTACTATTGCCATCTATCAGTGTTACCTTCGGTTGCAACTGGCCCACTCATGTTCACCAAGGTTGTGAAGCGAAACGCAAGTCTATTACGACAAGCGTAATCTAACTGAATGACGTCTCTGGGTGCAACTTGCCCAAGACGTTGGAATGCTATGGCGTTGTATGTAACTCTTGAAATACACACTCAGATGAATACATTGAGTATGCTGTATGCAAATGCTATATACACATTCACGGTTGTACAGGCATGTTACTGTGTGTTCTTTAAAGACATGTCAAGTAGGGTGCACCTTTACAAGTTACACTGGTAAGGCTGCAATGCGTAACCTTGATATGAACGGCACTGGCGTGAGGTGGGCACGTGGTAAGATGTGCACTGATGTGGCAAACTGGCGAGGAGTACTCTCGTGTTTTCAGCAGGGGTGATGTATCCTGATTTGGATTAGTGATTTAGAGGTACTGTGAGAGGTATTTTTACACACGATGCCCGTGTTTTGATACCAGTCCTTTCTAAAGCAGAGACCTTTTAAAGCAGATAGTCCCCCTAGAATCCGACGGCAATGCAGGTCGAGGAACCCAATGTGGAAGATAACCAGATTCCTGACAATGAAAACACCCAAGAGAGAAGGTTGCGTTACACACTGACGAAACCTCCTGCACTGTCCATCACCATTACCGCAGCCCTGCAGGTAAGGCATACATATACACTGTTCAAAGGTACTACGTACCACAGAGACTATAGCAAACTACCTATATGTGACGTGTGTTGCAATGTCTATATTTACAACAAAACCTGTATGGCACGTGTGTTGCACTGTCCATGTTTAGAACAAAACCTAAATCAGACGTATGTTGTACTGTCTGCATTTACAGCAAAACCTAAATCAGATGTGTGTTGCACTGTCCACATGTACAAGAAAATCTAAATCAAACGTGTCTTGCACGGTCCACATGTACAACAAACCATAAATCAGATGTGTGTTGGACTGTCCATATTTACAACAAAACATAAATCAGATGTGTGTTGCACTGTCCATATTTACAACAAAACCTAAATCAGATGTGTGTTGTACTGTCCATATTTACAACAAAACATAAATCAGATGTGTGTTGCACTGTCCATATTTACAACAAAACATAAATCAGATGTGTGTTGCACTGTCCATATTTACAACAAAACATAAATCAGATGTGTGTTGCACTGTCCATATTAACAACAAAAATATATATGAGACGTTTGTTAACACTGTTTACATTTATAACAAAACCTAAATCAGATGCGTGTTGCACTGTCAATATTTACAACAAATCATTTATGAAACGTGTGTTGTACTGTTTATATTTACAACAAAACCTAAATCAGACGTGTGTTGCACTGTCCATATTTACAACCAAGCCTATATGAAATGTGTGTTGCACTGACCAAACTTAGAACAACACCTATATGAAACGTGAGTTGCACTCTCCATATTTACAAAAACACCTGTATGAAACGTGAGTTGCACTGTCCATATTTACAGCAACACCTGTATGAAACGTGTGTTGCACTGTCCATATTAACAACAAAATGAAAGGTATGCTAAATATTGATGTCCATATGCCGACACTTGACATTAGTAGGAAGTATGTTGTCAATGACAATAAGAATATATACTTTTGTGATTATTTGTCGTGCACAGGAATATCGTTGTCTCTCGTTATCGCATATTTCATGTTAGAGGGATACCTGAATGAATTACTGATGATCCGACATGTATTGTTCATTTATTCACAGCACATATTGATGTGTCTTCCGGCGTCGCTGGCAATACCTTTCATTGTTGCTGATGGGATCTGCGCCGAGTATGACAGCCCGATAAGAACAACTCTGTTCTCGTCGTCGCTCTTCATGTGTGGTGTGTGCACAATACTTCAGACCGCAATCGGCGTAAGGTATGAACATGTGAAACACAGATGCTCAAATTTAGATGCATATACATGGAAAAAGTACCGTAACACTCCCTATTTTTTATAGTATCAACATGTTACCATTAACCATAGCCAAGGAACGTATCCAGACTTTAATATATCTTATCATCTTGATAAACTCACAGGGGCTTGTAACGCTAAAAACTGCCATCAAGGTATGTACTGTCACTAACGGGGTCTTATCACTATATAAAAGGAAAGGGATGTAACGAGGTCAACACACCAGGTTCGTTTCAGGGCGAATTCAACAATGTTCACTGTATCTGTCCCATTTAAAGTATGCACACATTTCACGCCCATAGATTTCCCTACAAAATGAGACATACATCACAAAAATCGAAGCAGTAGTTTGGGAGCTAGGGCTACGGAAGCTCGAAAAATCGTGTTTTCTCGATTCCGAGCCAAAATCCCTGCTCAGAATTTGTAGCGGTAACTCACCCATTTTCATGTTTATTTCACAGTATACACAAACGACATGCACCAAAAAATGTTGAACTGATGGCGCCTGTCAGCGCGCTAGTCGCCATTCTTTCGGAGACACTTACGCCTCACTGTCATAATGAGTTTACGTACATTTATTCATCGCAAACAGAATTGTGTCGTGCCCGTTCGCCATTGACGACCTTGGCCTTCACCTGCCCCGCACTGAAAAGGTGTAAGTGTCTCCGAAAGAATGGCGACTAGCGCGCTGACAGGCGCCATCAGTTCAACATGTTTTGGTGCATGTCGTTTGTGTATACTGTGAAATAAACATGAACATGGGTGAGTTACCGCTACAAATTCTGAGCAGGGATTTTGGCTCGGAATCGAGAAAACACGATTTTTCGAGCTTCCGTAAACCCTAGCTCCCAAACTACTGCTTCGATTTTTGTGATGTATGTCTCATTTTGTAGGGAAATCTATGGGCGTGAAATGTGTGCATACTTTAAATGGGACAGATACAGTGAACATTGTTGAATTCGCCCTGAAACGAACCTGGTGTGTTGACCTCGTTACATCCCTTTCCTTTTATATAGTGATAAGACCCCGTTAGTGACAGTACATACCTTGATGGCAGTTTTTAGCGTTACAAGCCCCTGTGGATAAACTAAATCGCAAATAACTAAATGACAAATGTATTTTTCAGAGCAAACACAGGAAAATTTGATTCATTTTGTAGTGCTCATAATTATGGCTGTATAACGTCAAAACGTGCGGTCATTTTCAATATTATAGCATACAATCCTCAGGGCATATCACATAAGTGTAAATAACCGTGCACAATGTCAATATCTGGTGCAACTGCAACTGCGATACTACCCCTGATCCCCTCTCCTCAATATCGTGACGTTGATTTACGTTGAGGTATTATGTTTCATTCCTGAAGGAGGGCTTGCTCAAATACATCAGGACTGAAGGATCTCTTTTGCGCACTCTGCTATTCATACTGTCCCACGTCAAATTGCTGTGACGCCGAGCTTATGATTCGGAAAAAGGCTGCATCCTCCCTTGGAGTAGTCGCTCGCGGTCCACCTAAGAGCTGACGGTCCTCAGCAGCATTTGCTGATGTTTTATGGCCAGTCGGCTGATGGATGACAACCAGCATCTCTTGCACTAGCCTCCAGTGACAAGGCAGCATTTTGCTAACAAATAATGTGCCATATTACGCGATATTTTCTTACTGACGGATGCACGTTGTGTCCGTGAAGCTCGCCCCAAGGCCATACCTAAACTTTATATATGGGGCGGCCAAAGGTCAAAATAATCATACAAACATACATAATTGCCATATGAACATAAATTTCATATTGGGCTAAGATCATAGGCATTGCGATACTTTTTTCCATGTGTATATATACTCAGTGAATGCCCGGCATCCAATGCGGGTTTCTCTGATATGCGGTTGCAGTCTCATAAGAACATGGAAATCAGTAGTCCAACAGCCTGAACCCAGTCTGACAAGTATACTGAATGCATGATTTATGTGAGAAAGTCAATGCATATAACCGGAACTATATATTTTGTAAACGGACATGTGTTATCACGCCTACAGTACACGCCACTGACTGCTGCGTGTTCTACAGTTAGGGATTCAGACATTCTATATTGAAAAAATATGCAGTGAAATCGCAACTGATGAGGTATAAAATATCATTTTTCGTTGAAATAGAAAGTTCAAATGTAACTTACTGCATTCAATGGTGTGGATTCAACAAAGCATTTATGTTATTCATTCATTTGCAGATTGCCTATTCTACAAGGCCCATCGTCCGTGTTCCTGCCAGTTATACTTGCAGTTCAAAAGAGCGACAGTTGGAAGTGTGTAGATAGTGCTTACGGTACGAACTGCCAGAAACTCGAGAGGTTCCAAGTACCATAACAACAAGTGGCATGTTAACTGTAATTTACTTATTGTAAACTCGTAATAACCGAAATATTCGTGCATATTCGATGGGATATTCTCCATACAATCCACTTATATATTATTCACCTATTTAAGTTTGTAAGCAATGTAGTAAATGTTTACGACATGCTACACTTGAGCTTTTCCTCCCAGTTCAATTCAGCACATCTTGATATAACAGTAACACTGTTCAACGTGGCGTTAAGCCAAATTCACTTGCAGACTTGAATTCAGAAACATAGAGAACTTCACATTTCGGTCATCGTTAGTTTTATTATTCCTCATGTCCTTCTTCACCATTATATCCAATCGAGTTAGAGGTATTCCCAAACGCTTTCAATTCTACTACATCACTAAAATTGGTCTAATGCCCTTGTTTCAGCAAATGTATCAACGTATGAAAACACTACAACACCAATGAATGTATCATCTACGACTGCCAGTCCTGTCCTTTTGACCCAGGAAGAAAAACTTCAACAGGTTACTAAACAGACCTTTACATGTAGACCCCAAAATCCCAATAGGATGCACGCAGCGTCATGCGTCCAAAAATCCCAAAAGAAAGCATGCAGCATCATGCGTCCCGAAATCCCAAGAGGTAGCATGCCCCATCATGTGTACCAATAGGTTTGTGTATTTTGGCCTACTCGTATCATGTAAGGAAACGTGCTTTCATTCAACTCTTTAGGAAATTCCAATACACTTCTCTGCGATAAGGATGTCTTAACTGTCTGTACAGATTCGCAGTATGAGCAACTGCATATATGTACGTGGTTAACTGACTACATTCCACCTGCTGTGTTTGTTTGGTGTGTTTTCTCGGACTTATACTTTGTTTTCCTGATTGTAGCTCTCCGGCAGCATCATGGCGGCGTCTCTTGTAGAGATGCTGATTGGTGGAACTGGGTTGGTAGGGCGTCTCCTCCGCTTTGTTGGACCAATCACAGTCGCCCCTACTATTGCACTCATCGGACTTTCTCTGTATAAAATACCAATACGATATTCCAAATCCTCTTGGGAGCTATCCTTGACGTGAGTTACAATCTGATTTTTGCAGATATATCTTACGGAAGTTGAAAGGGTTTTGTCGTTTCTAATATGGCATTGTTCTGTTTATCTGGAGAAACTGTTTCCACATAGCTTGTTGTCTGCCTACATTAAAACATGTATAGATACGATCCGAGTTAAAACTGTGTATGTAACACTATGTAACACTATTGTGTTAGTAGCTTTTACATACTTTTTCCATCTGTTACATGCGGTGAAGGGGCGGCGGGGTAGTCTAGTTAAAGCCTTGGCTCGTCACGCCGAAGACCCGGGTTCGAATCCCCACATGGGTACAATGTGTGAAGCCCATTTCTGGTGTCCCCCGCCTGATGTTGCTGGAATATTGCTAAAAGCGGCGTAAAACCAAACTCAGTCAGTCAGACATGCGGTGAAACAAATAGTTTAGTAATTTGAATTACTTCAATTACAAACGTTAGGCCATATGGTCAGTATGAATACACAATGCCACGTGTAACAGAACTTCTATGTGGGATTACACTTTCTCACTCAAGTACACATTCTAGTTCATTAATGGGTTGAGACCCATCCGGGATTCAACGGTTCTATCACAGATTGAAGCACATGTCGCCAGCACACAAATTCTGCAATCTAACCCACTGCGGCTTATACAAAAAAGAAAATCGGACCGCAAACTTTGTGTACCCCCACCTATAACTAGTATCTCCGCCATATAGCTGGAATATTGTGCAGCGTTAAACAACCAACCAACCAACATATATGATCGTATTACATGTGTGTTGTAATACGACAAAAACAATGCCTTTTGATTTTCAGGGGTGCGTGTTTGGTTGTGCTGTTTTCATTGTACTTAGGCCACGTGAAGATACCTCTACCAACTCGGACATGCTGTAAGCCTAAAGGCAATAGCAACACGAAGGTCTCAGGAGTGCGCCTGTTTCAGCTGCTACCAGTGAGCTTCATTTTGTCATATTTTCCCTTCTTCAATGCGCTTGCGTCGCGAGTCATAGTACAGCTATGGATTAAGGAGAGCGGTTATTATTGTCTATTTGTGTCCCACTGCCCTGGGTTCTATGACACCAATAGCCCACAATATGCGACCGTGTTTCTTTCAATGGTCGCAGTAGTAAGGAGAACCGAGTGTTTAAATCGCTTGTGGTGTATGTAATGTAATGGGTACAAACCCAGTTACCAAACTTTCTCTTAAGTTGCACGTAACATTACCCAGTCACAAGTCCGCCTCTATCTCGGCCGATCTTTCAGGTCTTGATGAGTGTCTGCTATGTTAATGATTCAGGTCTTGATGAGAATCCATTATGTTAATGATTCAGGTCTTGGTTAGAATCCATTACGTTACTGTTTCAGGTCTTGATGAGAATCCATTACGTTAATGTTTCAGGTCTAGATGAGAATACATTACGTTAATGTTTCAGGTCTTCATGAGAATCCATTACGTTACTGTTTCAGGTCTTGATGAGAATACATTACGTTAATGTTTCAGGTCCTGATGAGAATCCATTACGTTACTGTTTCAGGTCTTGATGAGAATACATTACGTTAATGTTTCTGGTCTTGATGAGAATCCGTTACGTTACTGTTTCAGGTCTTGATGAGAATACATTACGTTAATGTTTCTGGTCTTGATGAGAATACATTACGTTAATGTTTCAGGTCTTGATGAGAATACATTACGTTAATGGTTCAGGTCTTGATGAGAGTACAGTATGTTTAGTTTTCAGGTCTTGATGAGTGTTTTGCTATGTTAATGTTTCAGGTCATGGAGAGAATCCATTGTTTTTAATATTTCAGGTCTTGATGAGTATACTGGTCGTGTGGGCAATATCAGGAATTCTGACATGCACGAATGTATTCCCTTCGGATCCAGACCATCCCCGATTTCGAGCACGTGCAGATGCTAAATCAAAACTGATACACATGACACCGTGGTTTTATCTACCGTATCCAGGTAAAACATGGGATAATCGATAACCTCTGTGATATCAGATAACCGATAACCTCTGTGACATAAAGTGACAATACAAGTGAGTGGGTGAGTCAGTGAGATTAGTTTTACGCCGCACTCACCCCACTCAACAGTGTGAGTATCAAGGGGTTATAATCCATGACCATTCAGCTCACAAGGCAAGTCGATTTCATAAACATTTACTACTTGGAAATATTACAAAGTTTGGGACTCTCTACCGGGATGGACTGTATATCGGGGAAAGGGTAGCTAATGACGGCCAACTTTCGGTTGAGCATAGACAGGACTTACCCACTGTGAACAAACACTGACTGGGTTTGTGAATATGTGTAACGCCTGGTAATCGCAATATTTGTTTTCAGGTCAGTTTGGATTGCCCTCCTTCAATTTAGCACTTTGCATTGGATTCATGGCAACATTTTTCGCATCGCTCATTGAATCAGTTGGTGATTACTTTGCTGCTGCTAAGGCTTGTGAGGTAGATGCCCCTCCTACCAACGCTGTTAACAGAGGCATCCTGTTGGAAGGGATCGGAGGGCTGATATCTGGTGCTGTGGGAGTCGGTAATGCAACAACGTCGTTCAGTGCAAACATTGCCGCGATGACTCTGACCAAGGTGAGCCATTGACAGATAGGTGAGCCATTGACAGAAAGGTGAACATCCTGATGGGCTCATGTTACTGTTACATCAAGCGCTTTTGAAATAAGGAGTGAGTGAATGAGTAGGGTTGAACGATTTGAACAATACTGCAGTTATATCACGGTGTGTCAACATAAGGTCTCGCATGTTTACCACTTTGGCGGATCCAATATTCATGGTTCTGGTGCTGACAAACCTATAAACATAATTAGGGCGAACCGGAATTCGAATCAATCATCCTTGGTTTATGATATGCTCAAGGGAAGTAACTGTGCACAGCGAGGTGTGGCTACTGATGTACCCTTGATATATGGAAATGAAGGAAGGTGTTACAACGGTATTTCATAAAAGGAGGGGCGGTGGGGTAACCTAGTGGTTAAAGCGTGCGCCGGGTTCGATTTCCCACATGGGTACAGTGTGTGAAGCCAATATCTTGTGCCCCCGACCGTGATATTGCTGGAATATTGCAAAATGCGGCGTAAATAAAACCTCATTCACTCATAAAGGAGAAAGTGATCCTATTGTGCAACAAGAATCCCATGATTTAGGAAAGGCTTGTCGTCATCAGATGCTAATCATATTAATGAACCTATGGCCATGTAAGCAAATATAAACAAATAAGGTTGAGAGGAAGGATAACCTTTCAACGTGAAACAAATGATGATTTCGGGTGTTTGAATCTTTGAACAAAGCTGATTGTCTGAAACAGTATTTGCTAGAGTACTTGACCACTGTTAGATTATCTCATTAATTACGAAATATGATCATGAAGTCTAAAACATACAGGACATACAGGTCGACATTTCCACTATGTGAAAAAAGGAACCTTAACTCATCTCTTATATGTATAATAGCAGTTATACATGGGTACTTGAGAATGCGAAAATGTATTCATTCAGACTGATCCATTATCCATTATCTGCAGTTCAAGCTGGTGCGCTCACTCGATATACACGGATATAACGAACTCAATGAGACCACTGATTATTGTTCGTTATAACCGCAGTTCCTTTTACGCATTTCGAGTGAGTGAGTTTAGTTTTACGAAGCACTCAGCAATATTCCAGCAATATGGTGTCGGTCTGTATATTATTGAGTTTAACCAGGCAATCGAGTGATCAACAACATGAGCATCGATCTACGCAATTGGGATACGATGACATGTATCAACCAAGTTAGCGAGCCTGACCACCCGATCCCGTTAGTCGCTTACTTACAACAAGCATGGCTTACTGAAGATCAGTTCTAATCCGGAACTTCACGGGTGTATACGCATTTCGACTAAAAGGATACGGGACAAATAGAGCAGTTCGTTATATCCGTCAGTTCTTTATCAGCGTGGTCGTTATAAACGTAGTCTACTGTATGTATTTCCATTATCTCGTGAACATATCCTTTCACTTGGAATATAACTGTACCTATCCATAGCGTGTTCTGCCAAACGTATTTTTGTATGTCCTGAAGACCGCCAACCGTTACATCCTGCTCTGTGCTGGAGTCATCATGATCCTGTTATCTGTGGTTGGGAAGTTCGGGGCAGTCCTGGCCACCATCCCCGATCCAGCACTAGGTGGCGGTCTCGCTGTTATTTACGGGATGCTGGTGTCGCTGGGTCTGTCCACTCTGCAGTATGTCAATCTCAACTCGCCACGGAACCTTCTCATACTCGGACTGGCGTTCTTTATAGGCATCTTTGTCCCCGAGTGGATCGACAGGTACCCCGATATAATCAGAACAGGTACGAACATGAGATCAAAACGGCAACCAATTCGTTAATTTGGAGAAAGTGGACCGGTTTTTTATTGTGTGTTGCAATTTGAAACCTCGCACAGTGAAGTGTTGTAGCAGATATAAATCACAGTAGAATGGCAACTTACGAGTACTTTAACAATAATCATACGCTATTATATCAGGTTGGTTGGTTGTTTAACACCACACTCAGCAATATTTCAGCTGTTTGGTCGCGGTCTGTAAATAACCAAGTATGGACCAGACAATCCAGTGATCAACATCATGGGCATCGATATACGCAATTGGTACACGATGACATGTGTCAACCAAGTCAGCGAGCCTGACCACCCGATCCCGTTAGTCGCCTCTTATGATAAGCATGGGTTACTGAAGACCAATTCTAACCCGGATCCTTACCGGTACTAGTAAATTGGAATATACTTGTGTATTACATACCAATTCCAGGCAAGCATAATTGAAGTCAAGTGCATGTCTTTCTTACCCACTTCAAGGCAGCAGAGAAGCAGATAGCGTCCTGAAAGTTGCCCTAGGAACACCCATGTTTCTTGGAGGTGTAATCGCAATATTACTGGACAATACGACAAGAGGTCTGTATAAATTGTACATCAACATTACAATCATCCCTGATATTAATGTTAAAACATGGATCTCCGGATGTGAACTTTCACCATCGCCCAGTTCAGTTTTAATAAGTGTATGCGACAAAACATGTTGGTAATCATATGTTATCTCTACCACGATCTCGTACTTCAAAATATCATTTTCATATTCACCCAGGGTCGAGGAAAGACAGAGGAATAGATGCCTGGCAGGTCAGATCATGTCCGCACAAAGACTCGAGAGACACTGATGACACCAATTCTGGATCTACAACATACGACTTCAGTTGTACATCTGTTCTTTATAAGTATCTGCCGTGCTGCTCAAAACTACCCTTCATGCCGGCATATGACGAGCATACTGGGCGGACCGACGACAACTGCAACACTCCGATGATTATCTACGGACACAGTACTTCGCTGTAACGGAAACTTGAAGTCTGTTTTAAACTTAAAGGCATTTGGCTTATGGTTACAGGTTTTGGTCATCTTAGATGCTTTGATGTCTTGTTTTGACGGTTTTAGTTGAGTTTCAGATCCCGTTATCTTTGTTTTGAAAGAATGCTTTTCGAAATATACTTTTTGGTCTTCAAATGGAGGAACCAAATAGACATTCTCCTCATACTTGCGAATATATAATTATACATATATATTTACATATGAAGTTGGGAAATCATGCATACTTTGAGACAGGGGATCAATCAATCAATCAATCAATCAATCAATCTTTATTCAGAACTGAAGGCCACAGGCCCATGGTACAAGTTCAACAGCAGAGTGGATTTCTCTTCAAAATAGCATGATAGATAAACAAAGCAATATTTTCAATAAATGGTACGGTTAGAAGTTGATAATAGTTAGATAATTTATGTTTTGACGGTTGTTTCGTGAAATAACTGGGTATATATTTGCTTCTAATGCTTCTATAATAATCACAAATTAGCAGAACATGGTATTCATCTTCCAGGACATTCAATTTACAGTATTTACACACGGTAGATTTCTTTTGAAACAACTTAAATCATAATAAACGGAACGAAACTGTGATAAGGCTATTCTTACCTTCTTAATATTGATATAGCATACATATCGTTCACACGTGAAATTTTCTTTAAACAGGGAATAAGTAAATGTACAATGATTATTTTGGAGTTTTGCATGTCACTCCTGTATAAAACAATCTTTGCTTCTTCTTGCAAGTAAATTCAAGAATTGATCTTTATTTCCAACTCCCTGCCAGGGGATGTTTTCTATTACTGAGCTTTCGAGAACAATATATAATGAGAAATGTGTCTTTGTCTTCATTATTCCATTCGCTTAATACCAACACACGTGAGTCTCTATTCTGAGTCCATCAGAGCGATAATGACAATTAGGAACCATTACGTACCTTAGCAACTGATACCTTGGGTGTCTAATAATAATGGATTGTTTTTATAATCTGTTTGTTTTCTTTGTTGTTTAACACCGCACTAAGCAATTTTCCAACTACGAAAATATTCGGTTGTAGACCAGACACTCCTGAAATTGACATCATGAACTTCGATCTAGGCATGAACCAAGTCAGTAAGCCTCACCGGTTAGTCTCCTCTTACGACAGCCCACGGAATGTGAAGCTGATTATTGTTTTGGGTTTTTTTTTCTGCACGCGTACACCAGTAGTGTTCCTTTCGTATCCAAGAGAACTAATGTTATCTTCTGCCCAGCTGAAAGGACACTGTCAAACTGCACCTTTATCAGAGAAGACATCCGATATTTCCGCTGCTATCACTGTTGTTTAGTCTCGTACAGATTGTGGTGGGTCCAAGACTCATCTATGGCCAATAATGGGCTTGACTGTACATTCTCGTGGGAGATGAAGAACTGGGGCCATTCGGACCAGCTGGCAGAAGTCTTGGAACCAAGCATGTGGAAACCTCTGACGTACTCAGATTGGTCTTCAAGCTATATGACGGCGGTCTGCCAATAATTGAGTCTGGACCAGACAATCCAGTGACTAACATCGTGAGTAGTGATCTACGCAACTGCGATACGATAACATGCATCAACCAAGTCAGCGAGTCTGACCACCCGATCCCGTCAGTCGCCACTCACGACAAGCATGGGTTACTGAAGACAAAGACAGACCCGGATCCTCATTGTACCAGTGAGGGAGCTTTCTTTGAGAAAAGTAATGTCATTCTAGACAATTAACGAATGTTACAAATTGATACTTGATGATACTTTGGCCATGTATGGATCGCACAAGATGTTGACGACAGGGATTCCTTTTTAAAAATGTTCAAACAACGATGTAAAGATATATACCAGCAGGAATGGTTCCATGACGTCCATTCTTCAAGTAGTATTAGTTATTATGCTGAGTTTAAATCCTTTATCAAACCCGAATTATATCTATCGTCTCTAACATCTATCCATCTACGCAGAAGTGTAACTATGTTCAGATGTAATGGCCATGATTTAAGATAAAAGCTGCAAGGTTTTCTAAACACCCGTGTGATCAAATTACCACTTGTGATCATTGTAACCTCACAGAGGATGAATACCATATACTTTTAGAATGTCCTCAATATTCATCTTTACGATATAAATACTTACCTTTATATCTATGTAGACAACCATCAAAAGAAAAGTTTATTGCTGTTTTAACAACGAATGACGTGCAACTTCTCTACAAGTGAGCCTTATTACTATACCGTATAAATCGCAATAGATCAAATCGGCAATAACTGTATGTTTCACTTAACATTGTCTATCTATGGTACGTCGTATTGCATGGTAGCGCTGGCATTGTGTACATTACAATATGTTTACATTGTACTGTTGGCCTCCAGGGCATATATACCAATAACATCTGTCTGATACTTGATGACTGTACGAGATTACCTCTACCAGTTTAACTAGATTCTCTCCAGGTTTCAGCGAAATGTAAATGTCCGTCCCTGTTCTGGACATTACTCGATTTAAAAGATATAGCCTGTGATCTTCCTTTATATAAAAGTGGACTTATTACCATATGGGTAAACCTTGTAAGGCTGGTGTGATCTGATGATGTGACAGTTATGAAATATTTTATCAAACTATGTCTGCCAAACCATTAGCATTTCATCATGTTAGTTGGGTGTTGGTTATGTAATGTGAAAAAGGCGACTCAGTGATCGACATGTGAACAGACATGACAGGACGAATGTATATACCAATGCCTGATGATGGCAAAACTAACACATACAAGAAATGGTTGTCATTCGCGGGGACCCGTGAAGATCCAGGTTGACATTGGTCTTCAGTAACCCATGCTTATCATAAGAGACGACTAACGGGATCGGGTGGTCAGGCTCGCTGACTTGGTTGACACATGTCATCGTGTACCAATTGCGTATATCGATGCCCATGCTGTTGATCACTAGATTGTCTGGTCCAGACTTGATTATTTACACACCGCCGCCATGTAGCTGGAATATTGCTGAGTGCGGCGTAAAACTATAAACACACTCACTCATTCGCTGGGAAGAATGTTACTATTCTATAATACATTCAGAGCGACCCATGCGTTGATGAGCGTTCTCACGTCCCTTTCAACCGCCAGTAATTCAGTAATGATCAGCCGTGAGAGAATTTCAATGAAATCATGCATAACTCAGAGATGAAATGATCCTGTGCCTGATTGTCAGGTGTATGCATTTTATATTGATTATTTGCATCCTACTCAGTGGTGGAGCAAAAAATGTATACAAGCTAACACTTTCGCATGTGCCCCTCGTGAATCGGAATATCCTAAAAATGTTTTAGCTAGATTTTAAAAATGACCAACTGCTTAACATCATTAGAATGAACCAGTTTTTGATATATATATGGACAAGAAACTAGATAATAGTTCGCATTTAATATTTTGTTTACTCAGTACCAGAGCACGCGCAGAATGGAATTAGGCTGAGCACATAGAGAAATTGGAATCATACAGTAGACATTTCTAGAATAATGGAAATGATCTTGTGGCTTTTGTTGCAAGTATTTCCCCCAGTTACAGGTGGTTTCAATACATAAGCCGCCCCACAATGCCTTGCCATCTATATTTTACTAATACATGGTATCGGTTTTTGTGTATTTTAATTATACATATGTAAGCCATCATAACTTCTACAAGATGATTACCATATGCAGTGTCTGAAACATCAAGACGGAACCTGGCTCTGAATAAACCAGCATGGTGGGGTTGTAAGAGCACATGGAATGGCAAGGCTGCTGCTGCTGCTGTAGACGGCAACAATTATACCTGCATTCTGTGTTGTGTAGTATGGATGCTAAAGACCAGCCTCACTCGTGGACTTAGAAGCGTCATATTACTCAATAACATTGTAATGACTTGATTGATTTCTTTACGTAAGAGCACGCAGCGGGGAATTGTAAGGACATTATTTAATTTGAAGCCTGTCCACTACCTAACAAAGCAACTTATCCATTCGAATCGACACCACACGGGGAATCGAAAGTGATCATCACTCACCGACATGAACCATTCCAGGAGTTATCAAAGATTCATGTACCTTTGCTTTGTTCCGTTGTTATGCAGTATTCTGGGAACGGAATCCGCCGAAATGGATCCTTAGACTGGGGGTCTCCTTGATTAACCAGTCTTGTCTGTTACAAGACATCACCTCATTAGTTTGAGATCTTCACAGCATGGCTAATACGTTCCACGTTATGGCAAGATTGGCCAGGATACATGGTGGCGAAACACCATTGTATATTCCAGGGATGTGCATGTGTTGATCTGTGTGTCTCTCTCTTACTGCGCGTGTGTGTGTGCGCGCGTGTATGTATGTGTGGGAGCGTGTATGTGAGTGTTGGTTGTCGGTCTGACAATACTGTATTTTTCTGTTTCTTCAAGACGTGTTATGTTGTCAGAAACATCCCCTGTCCCCCTCACAAGGTCCGATGGTCTGGCCCTTAAAGCAAGTCATCATTTTGATCATAATGAGATGACAAGACGTGTAAGTGAAACGATAATAAATTCCTATATAATTGGCTCCCTCTACACTGGCTAGACACACCTCGCGGCGAGAGGCTGAGAAGTCCTGGCTGATCTATACTGCCTGATCTGTCTCGGTACCTTGGTTGACACCTTGACGGCGTGAGGCTGAGAAGTGATGGCCGATCTCTTCTGCCTGATCGGTGTCGTGGCTTCGTTGCATATTGGTTGTGTGTATCACTTTTATCATTGCTCAGTGCTGTTGTTTTATTGACAAATTTGTTTAATGAGATTTGTTTCAGGATTGTTGTATATTTCACTGTATTCCTTTATGCAAACCATGTCGTGCCTGGACTCATTGTAGTAACTGTTCTTGGCATGATTTTCCCTGACCACAAATGTTATGAGTAAAGTCTTGTGGAGAAATTGTTTAACACATTCATATTATATAGTCGGAATCATACAGTAGATATTTCTAGAATAATGGACATGATCTTGTGGCTTTTGTTGCAAGTATTTCACCCAGTTATAGGTGGTTTCAATACATAGGACGCCCCACAATGCCTTGCCATCTATATTACACTAATACATGGTATCAGTTTTTTGTGTATTTTAATTATACATATGTAAGCCATCATAACTGCTACAAGATGATTACCATATGCAGTGTCTGAAACATCAAGACGGAACCTGGCTCTGAATAAACCAGCATGGAGCAGTTGTAAGAGCACATGGGATGACAAGGCTGCTGCTGCTGCTGCTGTAGACGGCGAAAATAATACCTGCATTCCCTCCATGTATTGGCAATCCGCGATGGCTTGTTGTGGATCTGCTGGCACTATACCACATCCAGGACGTCAGCATCTACACTGAAGGTATGCTGCGGCAGAAATCCCTGTTTGGTCTTGACATTTACCCGGGAGGATCACTTAGGAATATCCTACAGCAGTTTCTGTATCCTCATTCGGTTAAGATTTAATCATTTGAGAAAACCTATTTCGATTAAGAATACTAATTTATACTGAAGACGCCCGTTTCAGTGACTATGCTAATAAAATGTAGACGTACATCTTGAGGTGCCATAGAAGTTGACTCTAACTGTACAGACAGTAATGTGACCTTGACACCGGGGTCAAATAGGTTCCCAACAAACGTATTGTAAGGGGCGAGGAAATGCATCCGGTGATCTGTCTCGGTACCTTGATTGACACCTTGACGGCGTGATTTGTTCTTCATTACATTTATAAATGGGGTGTGTGTTCCAAAATCGATTATTTCCATTTCCCCGCAACACCCTCAAACATAGCAGTTTGTGGACCTAAACAACAAAAAAAAACAAACTGACTGAATGGTTTTTGTCGTTTGTATCTCTCACATATACCCGTGTCATTTTAGCTGGAAACCTCCATGACTTCACGCTTGAGATCTACGAGACAAATCCATCTCGATATCGAACAGCAGCGCCCACCCTGCAAGAACTACACTCGACAGCTCGGTTCCCTTAAAACCATATCGTGTGAGAGACCATTCGTGGGCAGATACGTTCGGCTGAGGGCAGAAGTTGAGTCAACTTCTGCCCATGGTGTCCTCAGACTTTGTGAAATTAAAGTTTATGGAATCAAACATGGTAAGCCCAAACGTGCCATATGTATGTGGTATAGCTGGTTTTTGCAGCCTAAATTATAGTTTCACTGGTAAGGAACTTGGTCACACTGAGAATGGAGTCTTTGTGATTTTTGCGACGGAAACTTTGCGATATGTCACAGAGTGTTCGTGATTTTAGCAGCAGCAAGGGAAGGGTAAGATATATAATGGCCTGTATACCTACAAAATCAATATTACAAGAGAGTTGAATTCACATTTACTTACATTAGGTTTCCATCAGTAACAAGTAAATATTATGATGTTCAGAAAGCTACTGATAATAATGTAAAACCATTACGAAATTAATCCTTTTTAATAAATAATCGGTATATTGTGACAATTGGCCCCATTAAGAAGTGTAAAAAAATAATAGAAAGTGTTCCGATTAGGGTTTATCCCCTTTCATCATAAAGCATGTGCTGTTCTATCAGCGAAAAAAAGCGGTACATATCAATTTCCATGCATTGGTCTTATGTCACAGAAACTTTGTGATTACGAAATTAATGTAACGGAAAATTCACCCATTGTCACAGGTAATTCCCAATCACAAAATGGAGTAGACGGGGTATGATTCGCCCAATCTAGACCATGAATCCCCTGCCAGTGACCAAGTTCCCTACCAGTGATTTTGAATATTAATCACTAATCACAGCATATCGTCCTCGACGTTTGTGGTCATAAAGTGTATGTAATTTTAATAAATAACGTCTAGAAACTGGACATTTGATATTCTTGTACCGACAACTTTTAAACTACACACCCCTTCCACCTATACACATTGCTCTTTTTCTATTATGCATTTTATTTCGTTCGTCATGCATGCTCTTTTATGACTTTAAATTAGGTTTCAGAATGACAGAACTGCATTTATTGGACACCGTGTGTCCTCCACAAGCTGCCCACCCAGCATATCGTTTCTTACGCCACTAATGTTGCAGATGTGCTTCCTAAATTCACTTCAGAAACTTGCATGCACGTACACTTAATAGCGAACAGTAAACTAAAAGGTGGATGCCTATGTAATTTCAGCGTACCAGACATCAAACTACATCCGAATGCCAGAAGGAAGACTAATTCCTCCATTGGTGAAGTCGTCTGCCTTGTCCCGAGTGTCCTGTGTGCAGCAATGCATGTTGTCTGGAGCCTGTGTCGGTGTCAACTACAACAGTGGAACACGAGAGTGTGAGCTCCTCGGTCCGTGGGCTGAGCCCACTCACACAGTCCCCACCGATCCGGACTGGGTCTACTATAGAGATGACATGTGTTGAAATGAAACAGTTGCCTCTGACCGGGTCTAATGAGGAGACGATCTGTGTTGACCTGACACAGTGTGTCATCCCCCCGTGACTCTTGTATTCACTTATTATACAGGATATGATATCTGGGAAATGTATACTTTCTACGACACTTGTAACAAGATCTAGTGTTTACCCAGACCTGCCTTTTCCTAGGTACTGCTTATCTACTTGTCCATACTCGTTTAAGACATTCCTTACACAGATTTGTTTATAGTCAATTTGACAAAGTGTTTTTTATTGTTTTTAAGTGGTTGTAGAGACTGATGAAACATCTATTGATTGTAACTGTAAACGGCTGTTAATGATGGCTGACTGACTGAATATGGTTTTACACCGCTTTTAGCAATATTCCAGCAATATCACGGCGGGGGACACCAGAAATGGGCTTCACACATTATAACCATGCGGGGAATCGAACCCGGCTCTTCGGCGTGACGAGCAAACGCTTTAACCACTAGGTTATCCCACCGCCCCTGTTAATGATGGAAGGCCTGGTACATAATCAAGTGATGTTGACGCTAATGAGTGAAATTTAGCGTTATCTACCCCTATTTATTTACTAGCATGACATACTTCATCATTCGAGACCTTTCAGGGTGAGTATGTTTCCAGAAAGCTGGTTGTACAGATCAAGGAGCGACAAGATGACGATTATTGAGAAGTATCCGAGACCATTTTTAAAACACACATATTTCCGGTGAGCTTTTACATTTTATATCGATGAAGGGAGATAGGTCTGTTTCAAGACATCAAACAATGACATTAATCTGTCCGCGGATTGTGAGTGAGTGAGTGAGTTTAGTTTTACGCCGCACTCAGCAATATTCCAGCTATATGGCGGCGGTCTGTAAATAATCGAGTCTGGACCAGACAATCCAGTGATCAACAGCATGAGCATCGATCTGCGCAATTGAGAACCGATGACATTTGTCAACCAAGTCAGCGAAACTGACCACCCGATCCCGTTAGTCGCCTCTTACGACAAGATAGTCGCCTTGTTATGGCAAGCACATGGGTTGCTGAAGACCTATTCAACCCCGGATCTTCACGGGTCCCGCGGATTGTCATGTATTGTAGGGCATGTTACTTAATGCTGTTGCCACTTGTTAAAATAATTTCATTTTCTCTTGTGATTGTACTTGTTTGTCAGTATAAGCTCTTGTGTTGTCATTCATTCATTTTCCATGTTAGTTCAGTACAAACCGGCTTCTCAGTTAACCGTGGCGCTTCAGTTAGGAAACTACGCCGTAACAACAAGCCAATATGGAAAATACCTATCACTGTTTTCTTAAAATGGCCTAATAACAATTCTAGTAGAGTGTCAATGCATAACGACATGTTAGCAGTTTGAGTTCACTTTTAAAACCATTCAATTTCTTTATCGTGCTATTGTAACTATGCTTATGAAACAAAACATCTATATATTTGACGACAAAAATAAATAGTTGATTACCATTAATGTGTTTAGCATCAACATTATTGCTCTCAGTATTTCAAGTCCTAACAGCCCACGTGGTATTTGAAGGATACGTTTATTTCACGTCCATTCTAGCAGTTTGCCGCCACATGGTAAGTAATGACCATATGTAAATAGATAATTGTAAGGTATCTTGTAATTAAAGGTATGTCAAGCATGAACTCTGATGTTCCTGCTTGACACTGGAATAAATTAAACAAATTCAGAATCCAGGATGACTGTCTTACTCACACCCAGTCTACACCTGTACAAGCCTTAACCTGGGAGAAGATGTTGGACATACTCAGTGTACACTTCGTTTCCAAAAGTATTGATTCACAAAGTGGCCTTTTCTTGCCTACATTTTATGATGTTTCATTCATTTGCAAATGATACAAATCACACTAAACAAGGAAACGCTTTCGAGTTCATAGTTCTTCATGCCAAACTCAGGCAATATGTCAATATCCTGCTGAGAATGCATTTCGAATTGATACGAGAGCACTTCTGCGAATAGCTTTCTGAAACAGATTGCTATGAACACAAGGAGATGGATTCGAATAATAATTCGTCAAATGTTGACAATGCGCTATATAATTTTCGAATTTGATATATTTTAGATTTCGAACCGAATAGTACTAGTTTGATTCCCTTATACCCATCTAGTAACGTCTTTGGTATGACGCTGCCAGGGGCTCGACCCCACACACTCAGGGTCGACGCTGTATCCACCTCACCACGTAGGTAGTGATAGGGCACAGACGCGGTATTCCCTGGAATATTTGGATTTCGTTTCGGAGGTATCAGGTGTTATTGGGTGAGGGGACTAATCGATATATTAGCTTCGTATTCGATACGGGTGTATTTGCGCGTTTGGTGGACTGTGGCAGCCAGAAAGTACATATTTTATAACTCACGGTAGTTCTTATTCAGCACCTGTTAGTTTGGGCTAAAACACAAAGAATGTACTAAAGCTTTGGGATTATTTTTAACAAAGAAAAGCGTAAATGTTTTGAAGAGCTGTTTGATTGTGACTTACATGTGACAAATACCTCCGGGTCGTACACGAATGCAAAGATGGGAGCAAAGTTGTTGAAGTGTTCATGTCATGGTTCAAGGCTAGTTATGGTCGATCAGTCCAGGGGCCGATAGCACGTTGTCCTGTGTTCCTGTTGGTACGGGACCCAATGCTGTTGGTGTTGATCGCGTCACTGTGAGCATCTTGGTCATCTTACGGGATGGTCAATCTCAGTCTTCCAGTTCTGGGACTGTCCAACCAGTCTGGTTGACGCGATACATTAGTCTGATGGTGGTCTGCCATGTGAAGCCGAACACTCTGTCGATATAGCTGTTTTAAGTCCCACCTGCGACATTCTAATTCTCGCTCTCCTGCTGATAATGTTGACATTTAATGTGTTCCTTTTACAGGTATGCCATTAGTCGCCTCTTTCGACACCCGCGAGTTTCTGAAGACCCCTCACGACCCATCTTATGGTTGCTATAAAACTTAACTGTATGGTTCTGTCTCAGCAATTGGGGTGTAATAGTAGCTAATGAATCGGTGGGTTTCCTTGTTTGTGTCGCAGGATTAAAACACGACCACTTGGCTGGTGTTGTCACTGTTACTGTGCCACTCGGTAACAAAGTGTGCCATTGGTTTTAACCTGAGTGCCACTGCCAGCATGGTGTGTCATACACTATAAATTAAGGGAGTGAATGAGTGAGTTTAGTTTTACGCCGCACCCAGCAATATTCCAGTTATATGGCGGCAGTCTGTAAATAATCGAGCCAGGACCAGACAATCCAGTGATCAACAGCGTGAGTATCGATCTGCACAATGGGGAACCGATGACTGTTGTAAGGGGGGGGTGTTTGAATAAATTTTGGTCGGACATGGTGTTTTTATGACCTTTGTGTGACCTAATCGACTGTTGAACCCTTCAGCCCCACCCTCCTTTGGGAGTTCCTTTCCGGCCCAGGTGTGTGTGACCTTCAGGTTCACCTTAGTGGGCTGTGATTATTATTCAATTATTTTATGAGTGGTATGAGTTTGCCGACTCGAGTGTTCATAGAATTAATAGAACATAGAATTAATATCACACTATGAGGGGAATTTAGCTGCTATTTATAAGGTCAAAAGTTGTGAAAATATCAGAGCGCATTTTGTTAAATCAAAGGTATCTCTAGCCAGTTTAAAATACGCTGTCATTTGGTACACGAGGAACAACTCCGAAGTTCTCAGTTTTTATTTTACATATCTGTGAACAATAAATGACTGTAGCTGTTAGCAAATTAAATTTATGCACCATGTGGGCCCGTATGTGATATGCGTGAATGGGGCGCAGTCTATGCACAATACTAAGAGCAGAATCGCTTGCTCGCTGAGTCGGGCCGTAACTGAAGAGACATTTGTGATTGGATGGAATAGTGTAAGGTCTTATGTTTGTTAAAAGCACCTCCATCCAGTCATTGAAACTGACCACCATTTTAAGTATTTAATGCTGTCATTTGTATCACTTATGCTTATGCGTGTACGGATATGTTCAAGTACGTGCGGACCTGAGGGGTTGATGTGTTTAGCTTCATGTGTGTGGCTTCCTGTGCTCACAAAGTTACCCGGTTCAAGTTAACCAGTAAAGGTCAGACTGTAATCATGTGTACATGGAATGGTCGTTGATAAGTTTCAGCGTGATGGCGCACAGCCTACAATGAATGTATTAGTCACAAATGGTCAGCTTCCGTTATGTAGGGAGAGAAGTGTCTGACCGGAATTAAAGACAGGAAATAGTAAGCAGTTGAGGACTGATGGTCACTGAATATCTCAAGTAGGGTGTCCAGTGGTTGTTCAGTGATGAAATGATTTTGCATTTGTCATATATTTTACTGAATAAATCAACTAACCTACATTTGTTCTCCTGTAAAACTTTCCAATACTGTTACTCAAACTTTTAAAGTCGAACTTTACTCTGAAATTGCAAACATAAAACCATCTTTTGTCCATGAATACTACATATGACACTTACGTGGCATCATGTGACACATAGGTTACTCACATTCCATTAGCCGCTCTTATTCCCCAGACAGTACAATGAAATACTGGTGTAAGCTTCTTGTGACTGTACGTATTGTGTGGGGTATGAAGAGGTTGGGACCTCCTGGTGTTAAGAATTATATTGTAGCTTAAATGTATTCAGTGACATAGGGAGGATTATTTATCAGTTGTAAAACAAAGATTTGTACAATGAACAGTTGTCTCATGTGAGTCAGCAAATAGATACACAAACAAGAAAGATATACAGATTTCATTGTTTATTAGCTCCGTTTCAAATGAGTAGGCTTTAGGATAGGAGCACTCTCAAATGTCTACTTTACATGTTGTGCGAATTACAATGTCTTCTTGCCCTTCCTCACCGTCCTGTCCAGAACCTTCACTCTCTACATCAGAAGGCATGTCTTCATCATCATCATCATCATCATCATCATCAACATCATCATCATCATCATCAATTAAGTCTTCTACCCAAGATTTTTATTTGTACAGTTTGGAAAACACGTCATGATACAGATTGTTTGTGTCTCCTACACCTTTCAGTATTCCTTGTGTCTTTGGACCCAACTGCATATGATACAGATAAGTAATAAATCATGCATACGTCTCTTTGAACGTGCTCCAGATTAGTTTTTTCATTTTGCTTGTATCATGTCTTCGTGTAAACCTCTTTTCATGTACAGCTGTTGTTTCTCATCCAGAAAGTCTTTATTCAGCTCACGTGTACGTGAATACATTTGTCTTATACCTTGCTCTTCGAGATCAGCCATCTTATTTTTCCTGTTGTTTTGTGTGACATCGTTTAACGATACAGCATCATCATCATCATCATCATTTTCTATTTCAGGACATTGTTTATCGTGTAAATGTCTTTGTA